TGAGGCACTACCAGTAATGGGGCTCCCATGTGCTCAGGACAGAATAGAGAATTTGAAAACAGAGTGGAATATCATACGACGAATGAATGAAGATTTGACTTCAACTTCTTTTTTATCATCACTAGTGGCTTGACTGGATCTTTGTGCTATGTTTCCTGGGATGAAAGAAGTAGGAATTCATCTCTTGCTACTCCCAGTCACAACAGCTATAGTTGAGCGTTCTTTTTCATCATTGAATAGAATTTTGTGTTCTGCCAGAAGTCGCCTTCTGCCTGATCATGTGAATGAACTAACGAGCATATCAATTGAAGGAATGGAAGTACAGGACGCACAAGAAGCCACCGAAGATGAATGCACTGCATTTGAGAAGTTCATTAACAGAGTTGTGCAAAATTATAACAAGAAACCAAGAAGGATGTAGACGTAGTGCTTCATAGAAGGCTTGAATAGCCAACTTTAATTTGTGAGATTTTAAAATGAGTTAAATCTAATTAAATGTCATGAAACATTTTTCAGTTTTTACTATGGTGCCATACAGCCCACCTTCACCCTCACAGTCTCACCCCTCATCAGCCCTCACACCCCCTCTAATTTCAATTCCTGAGAAAAACACTGGGAGACGGCATGAAGGGATTTTCTTTCCACCCTATTCTGGCTCAAGGGCCAGAAGTACACCACAGACATATTATAAAAATAGATTTACATAAGCAGGAGGTGACAGAGGTGGAAGAAGAAGAAGAGATTATGAAACTAAAGAAAAGTCAACTTCGGGAAAAATAAAATAATATGCACTTAGGAACAGGTTGAAACTCTCTTAACTGGGATTTTCTGGTCTGGCATTGCCAGAGTACAAAGTCCCAGTGGAGAGCTAGCGCAAGGGAGCCCCGCAGGCTGGTAGGGCAGCGGGAGACCAACACATGGCAGTGGGTCTTCGTGGCAGGATAGTGGGTCTGCCCAGTAGAGTAGCGGGAGCCCAGCACGCAGAGGCAGTGGGGTTGCCCGGCACAACAGTAGGAGCTGGGCACTGCAGCAGGATCCCGGTACACAGAATCAGCGGGGCTGTCCAGCATGGTAGTAGGACCTCGGTGCATGCAGAGGCAGTGGGGTTGGCAGGTGCTGCAGCAGGGGCTAACTGGGCAGTGGGGGGCTAGCGAGCAGCGGAGGATACAGGGCAGGGAGAGCGGGGTGGCTGCCCCGGGCCACGCGCTTCAATAGGCCCCATGCCAGCACCAGGAGCGGACTGGCCCGACGGGATACTGGGTATTTCCCGGTGGGCCATCCACCGAAGGGCCAGCTGGCGACTGCTGGAGGAGAAGGGGGATTGTGATAGGGCGCCGCAGCCCCGCACTTTAAATTCCCCGGCGCTGGCCAGTACGATCATGTGGGGCCGAGGGAGGGCATGCGCAGCGTGCTGAAATGCCACACAACAGCTGAGAAGGGAGATGCCCAGGTGTGGCATGACGTCACGGCCCGGGACTTTAAAACTGCGCGGCTCAGCATTACACCGCTCGGTTCGGCACGTGGTCTGGAGCCTGGGCTGGGGTCGCGGTCAGCCTGCAAACTGGAAGTCAGAAGGTGGATGGCAGAGGAAAGGGCTTGAGAGACATAATGTCACGATCCGGGATTTTAAGACAGGTGGGTGCTCCATTGCTCTGTGTGGCTGAGTTGTGGGTTCAGAGTCCATGGACGGAGTGCAGACTCCAGCCCCGCAAAGTGGAAGGTAGAGGAAGGAGAAGGGCTGGGAGAGGAAGGGGCTTGTGCAGAGGGGGAGGAAAGAGGAAGGCACCAAAAGGACAGGTTAGAGGAGAGACAAATGCCAGGGGGCCAAGTACAGACAATGAGGAAAAAGGCAGGAGGGGAGGTGTCAGTGGGAGGGGGGACAGAGTGATGCTGGGAAAGGCGAGAGTAAGGACATTGGGGGGAGGAGGAGGTCCTGGGAGAAGGCTTGAAAGAAGGGGTGAGCATGAGGAAGATGGGGATGGAGCAGGTCATGTATGAGGGGAACGGGGGCAGAGGGTAGTGAGAGGGTGGACATCAGGGAAAAAGAGGGCAAAGGAGGTAGGGGCAGTGAGGGAAGGGGGAGGCACCAGGAGGGTGCAGGAGTAAGAGAAGGTGTAGGTGCCAGGGGATTCTAGGAGTGAAGCAGAAGGGCAGACACCTGGAGGGGAGGGACCAGCACCAGAGGAGAGAGGCAGGGCAGGCATGTAGGGAGGTGTTAGGAGAGGAGATGAGGAGAGGTAGCTTACATGATCAGAGTGGGGCTACTGGAGTGGAGTGGGCATAGGGCGGAGGTCTTTTTTCTATTTTTTCTCTGAGGGGGGCCCTCCGTGAAATTGTGCTGCCCTGGGCCCTGCAAAATTCTCATCTACCCCTGCCAGCAAGAGAGGAGAGCTGGCTGGGAGGCTAGTGATCGGACCAGAGCCAGAGGGGGCTAGCATCAGGGGGGCCAGAAATGATCTCCTCTGGTCTGGCAAAATCCTTGATGTGGGATTGGTCAGGTCCTGGAGTTACCAGGCCATGGAGGTCCAACCTGTAGTATCTGTCATGTAAAGATAACAACATGTTTTATAAAATAAAATGGGTATTACCCCCATTTCACAGGAAGAAAAACTGACAAAAGGCAAGTTACTTGTCCTAAATCACAGTCAATTAAAAAGAAAATTAAGGAATAAAATCTAGGTTTCTTGATTTTTAGCATTTCACTGTAACCACTGGACTATGCTGCTTAACTACTGTGATACTGTTTCAACTTCACTGTAGTGCTGCATATAGAGGTACAGATTGTATTTTGCTCTCATTCAAACAAATTTTAATTTTTTTCTAACATCTAAAATTTGGATACTTGACATTAAAATTCTGTCCTAATTGCTGATTTAAGACTTACAGTGCCCCTTTACCATGCAATGCTTTCAGATTTATTATGACTGAAGATTTAAAAAAAAAAATCACAAATAGCAAACACTTGACAGTAATGTATCAGAGGGGAAGCCGTGTTCGTCTGAATCTGTAAAAGCGACAAGAAGTCCTGTGGCACCTTATTGACTAACAGATTTATTGGAACATAAGCTTTCGTGGGCAAAGACCCACTTCGTCTGACAAAGTGGGTCTTTGCCCACAAAAGCTTATGTTCCAATACATCTGTTAGTCTATAAGGTGCCACACGACTCCTCGTTACTTGACAGGAAGATAGTTTTCATAACGTGTTTAGTATATTTTAAGACTTTATAAAAACCTCCACAAACTATGTACCTTTGTTCTGCATTTGGGATACTCATGGTCACCAGGGAGCACTTTGAAAGAAATTGGTACTCTGTCAGCTCTTCTGTTTGCACAAAAGGCATCCCAAACTGCACGATGAACAGCATTATACACTACATCCAAGCCAGTGAGGGTTACAAAGGCCATAGGCCGACAACATAATTCCACGGGGAAGTCCCACTGTGTTGGGCTCATCTTGAGGTTTTACAGAATGCCTGAAAAACAAAAGTACCCTGTATTTCAAATCTCTTTTCAAACATGCCATTTCCTATGAGATAGGAAAACTATCTTTTTAAAAAAATTAAACCAGTCTTTTTAGATAGGCTCCAAATTAAATCCAGCCTGCTCGTGCAACTTAAAATGCATTTGTGTAAAGGAATGCAAACAGTTTTAGATGCAGGGATTATTTTAAAAAACTCCAACAATCAATCAATTTTTGGAGGGCATAAAAGAACCAGAAAGGGGAGGGCACACATGCAGTACATCTCAATTAAGATCAAACATCTGTTTTTATTCATACTGCTCAAACACTTTCACTATTATTAAAAGAGTAAGCCAAACAGCCACTAACTATAGATGTACAACAAATAAGTTCATCAAATACTCCCTGCCCCAAGATGTGAAATTGAAAAGGTAGATAGCAGATGGTCTGAGAACTCTGATGGCCCCAATCCTGCAGCTGGAGCTATATAAGCAAATATAGGAGCTTGCAGAGTCAATTGCAGGCCATGGCTTCTCTCTCTTACACTCTAAGAAACAGCCTGCTTAAATAGGCTTTGCACGGGCTAGGTACTGTATGGAGCAACAAGCATGTTCGACCTCACCATGGTGGCACTGGGTTTTTTAGCACCAGCCTCAGGTTTGATGCAATACACTGTACAGAGATGACCCCTGCTCTGAAAAGCTCCATACTCAGTATCTACCGACAGGCGCCGTTCGCTGGGCGGGGGAGGGGCCCACCGTGCAGAGCGTTGTTTCGTTTGGGCTAGGTACTGTATGGAGCAACAAGCATGTTCGACCTCACCATGGTGGCACTGGGTTTTTTAGCACCAGCCTCAGGTTTGATGCAATACACTGTACAGAGATGACCCCTGCTCTGAAAAGCTCCATACTCAGTATCTACCGACAGGCGCCGTTCGCTGGGCGGGGGAGGGGCCCACCGTGCAGAGCGTTGTTTCGTTTGGAACCTGATATTAAAAGGGCCACTATTGCTCCCACTGGGGG